ATGGTGCTGCATGCTCAGGAGCTGAGGCACGAGGACTGCTATGATTTGAGACCAGCCTGGGCTACACAGTGAGTACAAGCCAGTCTGAACTACACAGGGAAACCCTGTCTCAGCAAGGAAGCAAGCAAGCAAGCTGTAGTGGCATGGGGGAATCCCAACTCCTGCTCTAGTTATTTTTTCTGTACAACTCATATCACCTGTTAGTCCACTGTTTATTGCTTAAACTTTAAACTTATTTTCTGTCACTTATGCTCCCTATCCCTTAAGAAGAAAGTGTCACAGTGACAGAAACCTTGCTTTGTTTAAGGATAACGTCCAGTATCTTCGGATGATACTACACAGAAGTGCTGATAACACTTGATCTTAGCCAAAAGGCCCAGAAGCGATAATTAGCACTGATAAATACCTGCTAAATCAATGAATGAAAAGTAGGACAACATAGAGATTAATTAGGCAAAGAATGCTGAGGGACGGCCACAGGGTCCTCAGAGGACCTCCCTACCCTGTTCTCAAGGCACAAACCATGGGCAGGGCCATATGGATCTTGCATGTGGCGCCCTGCTCAGGATGTCACTGAGGGCCCTGCCCCAGACCAAGCGTCCAGAACACCCAGCTCTTGGGAAAGGAGAACCCCAGAATGATATTATTAAATATTATTTACTAGAGTCAAATAGATCATGTGCAGATGTCCCTTATGTCAAACCCTGGCAGCACTGAGTCAGATGCCTGGAGAGAAGGCTCTAGTTTCTACTGAATTCCTGAAGGGTAGAATCAGGTATCTTACAGTTTCCCAGTCCCCACACCCAGAGCAGCCTCTCCTAACTCAAGAATTCATCGCAGTTCCTTGGAACGGGAAGGAGCACTGTGACTCTTCAAAGGATCAATTTCTTCTGAGGCAGGGCAGGGAGAGAAGGCTACTCCAGAAGGACCTGGGTATGGCCACAGTATACAGCAAGGGAAGGTCTCCCTGGGATCCCTAGGGAGCCAGGGTTGGGGATAACAAGCGGTGCCAGTGGCCCCAGTAGGGAACGCCCATGTCCTGCCCCATACCCTGTTTCTCCCTGCAAACTGTGCCCAGGCACAGGGATACAGTTGCTAAGCAGACCTGGCATGTTCCAGCCAGAAGGAGCTGAGATAATGATATCACCGAGTGAGATAAGAGGGCCTCTCAGAACCGAGTGCTGCGGATAAGTGAGTCTAGGTTACCGGTCTTGCTCCAAGCCGCCAACCAGGACAGACATCGGCCTCACAGGCCTCTACCCTGCTCCCCAACTCAGGTGTCTCCACAGCTGCTCCTGGTTGGTCTAAAAAGCCCAGGAAACTAAGCCTTGCCACATTGTCTCTAGAGGCTCCTGTCAGTGATGCTCGCGGTCTTCCATAGGATAGCAGGGCGGTCACAGACTGATGGCAGAGGCTCCAAACTTTTCAGCCCCGTGTACCACTTTCTCAGAAAGCCAGTAAGCCCTAGAAGAGGACATGCCAGCCCCTAGTGAGGTTGAAAGGGAACTCCATGGAATTCTCAGACATTCCCTTAAAGACAAGAGGAAGGTGCTCCCCTGCCCCATCCCCCAACAGGGTGTCCAGAATGGACAGGGTAAGCACTCCTAGGCTGGACAAGAGCAGCCCCGAGAAGATTCTGTGCTCAGGAAAGACACTGCTTAGTCTGTGATCAGTCCTCATTCCTGGCTCTCCCAAGGAGCAAGGGATGTATCAGGGGCCACTGGAACAGGATGTCAGGTGAGGATGGACCGCTGTCCCCTATTACTGAGGAGTATCTTCACTGACCTCTACAGACTTTCTTTTTGAGACAGGCTCTCACTATGTAGTTGAAGCTGGTCTCGAACTCCCTATGTAGCCCGAACTAGGTTGGCCTCGAACTCGTGGCAATCCTCCTACCTCAGCCCCGGAGTTCTAGGATTACAGGCGTGCACCACCATGCCTGGGCAAGAGACTTCGAAAGATTACTAAATTATGCAACTTCAGCTGATCTCTGGACGGAGAAGCAAATTCCCTCAACCCAGCAGGTGTTTCCAAAAGGCCCAGGAGCCTACCTAAAGGCCTGTAAGTGCATGATGCTTTTTATGCTTTCAGGGATGCTAACAAGTTCCCTGTCCTTGCGTTTCTGCTAGGTACCAGACCACACATGTTCATCATGTTTTCACTTTCTTGGCAACTTCTGTAAAAACAAGGCTTAGCATGGTCAACTGATTCAGCTAAGGATACACAGCAAGAACTCAGCAAGGCATGATTTAAAATCACCTGATATCTAGGAAGACATTACCTCCCCCGCAAAAAAATTTTTTGAGAGTCTTGCTATGTAGCATAGATATGTTATGTAGCTCAAACTTGCAATCCTCCCAATTCAGCCTCCTGAGTGCTGAGATCAAAGGCTTGTACCACCATGCCTGGTTCAAAATTCTTAACAAACATTATGTTTTGGGAAAACTCTGTCAGGCATGGAGAATCTTTTCTGCCTTACATTTTATAAATTTTTTCATTTTTCCCTCCATGGACTTTTCCTTTTTTCTGTGTGTGTGTGTGTGTGTGTGTGTGTGTTTTTTAAATGAACATGGGTCACCTGGGACTACAGGGTCTTTCTTTTTTTAATGCTGTTGTCTATTAAAAAGTTACCAAGTATCATTTTAATATAATTAAAATTATACTACTCTGCCATCAAAGGAGACACTCCATTGCCTCAAAGAAGAGTAGGGACACAGAATGACTCTGGATGCTGCGATGCAATCTCATGGGGAGAGGAAGAGCTAGGTTTGAGTACTGACTGTCGCAAATGAGTTCACTGGGCAGATGACTTAAGAAAACTAACCCTAAATTCCCTGTTCATAAAATAAAGAACCACCTCTTCTGTGATCCATCCCTTCCCATGCCTGCTCGTGCCCCAGATCACACAGACCCAGATCTTCCTCAAAAGCCACTTCTGACCTTGGCTGCCCCTGGGCGGGCCCCATCTCTTCGGCGGCAGCCCTGCTCTTCCACCTGCATTTCCTTGTAGGCTGACACACCCTTTCCCTCCCTTCCTCCCTTCCTGCTCAGAACCCCTCCACCGGACCTAGACTCTTGCAGAGTGCCCAGCGCCCAGGTTAAGGCAGCTTGCACCAACAGACAGTAAGGATCCCCTTGGGAAGGGGCCCTGATCTAAGCTCCGCCCTCCTCACCCGAAGTTCACCTGCCTCGGGTGAGCGTCTCTAAGGATTACAAAGCCGCTGTCCTGGTTACGCTCATTTCTCCCCACGACCAAGGCCCAATGTGTCCACCAATTGTCCACCCGCAGCAAATCAAGTTACACTTTCTTTGGCAAGAATTTTCCACTACTCGCCAGTTCCCATAGTGCAACCCCCACCTGTCAGAGTAGAAGAGAGACTGGCTTTCAGTACTAATGGTGTCCGAAGGCGTCCAGGAGGAGAAAGGCCCCGACAGTGAAGTCCCTCCCGCTGGCTTCCTGCGTCCGGGGATTAGGAGGCACAAAGGGCCGGCAGAGAGAGCCCCAGATGGCCGGGACAGGGGCTAAGCCGCCAAGGTAACGCCGCCAGCAAAGGCCGGGTCACGGGAGCCCCGCGTCGCCCGCTCCCGGCCCGGGCGCCTAGCAAGTGAGCCCCGGGACTCCGCCTCCGTCTCCCAAACGCAGCCTGGCTGGACACCTGTTCCTCTGCTCCCGAGAGCCAACACTATAGTGCAAGCCCAACCCCCAGGTTTGGTAATCGGGTACGGACCAAGCACAGAAAAGTTCCCAGCGGCACTTTCCACAGGTGCCTTTCTCCCAGACGAGCCAAACGACGGCACAAGGGCGAGGCGGAGGAACTGGGCGCAGCCCTCCATGCCGGGGAAGCCTGGGGGTCTCGGTCCTCTCCCGCGTTGGACGCCCCAACAGAGAACGGGGCTAGGTCGGTAGCACCCCACACTCACCTGGAATCTGGGCCGGCCCCCCGCCCAGGGCCTCCGCGTCCCTCCGTGCCCGCCGCCCGTTCCGATCGCTCCGCTGCGCCGGCCCACGGGCTGCTGAGCGGCCGCCTCCTTCCTGCTCACCTCCGGCGAGGCGAGCGGGGGGCGGAGCTGCCGCTATTTACACAGAGGGCGAGCCAGCCGGGTCCGCTGAACTCTGAGACCCCGCCCCCGGGCCCGCCCGGCCCCAGCAGCCCAGCGCCCACTGGGCGGGGACAGAGCGAGGGCGCCCTCTGGGGCAGGGGCCGCGCCCGGACCAATCGGCGGCTCCCGGAGCTCAGGGGCGGAGCCGCGACCCGCCCCAGCCTCACCTGAGCACACCTGGCCGCAGGACGGCGCACCGCGCCCAGTGTCCCGCCGCCTGCTGGAGGAGGAAATAGTTCCTGCCACGGACGGCGGCCCCCAGCCCTCTTTCAGACTCTCCTGGCGGGAGCCGTACCCTGCTCCCACGACTTGCCCGGAGCTGTCCAGGAAAGGACTTAGCGGAGACCTCCTCCTGAGAGCAATCGGCCGGGAAAGGGTGGCAGTGGACCCAGGACCAGGTTTCAGTACCCACAAGTAAGATCATAGGGGCCAAGGGCGTCACAGCGCCTTCCCTTGGGACGGACAACCGCCCCCACCCGTGTCTACTCTGGAGACGGGCAGGCGCCCGAAGTCCCAAGAGGGACTGGAGCTTTTAGTTCAAGCAAGGGAAGGGACTGAAGTGATGAGTGGCCGGAGTGGAAGGGGAGCGAAGACCGACACAAGGACCATACAGCTGCTAGAGACGGATGTGGCCCACATCGACGTGGGTTTCACGGCCACCCTTCCATGCCAACCTGGCTGTGTTCAGGGATGACCAACGCTGCGTTGGCTTCACTCTCCAGATTCTCATCAAGAGCCCAGCGACTGTTACTTCCCATCCCCTCAGGCAGCACAAGCAAGTGCGAATGCTTCCCTGTGTCCCCGTCCTACCCCCCACCCAGGGTTTGGATCTTAGATCCCAGGCACAGAAGATGGCTCTCCCAGAGTGGGCAGAAAGTGAGAGGTCCAGTACATCCAGCCATGGTAGAAAAGAAATCGATTTTTAATGGCTTTGGCTTTATGGAATGAAGCAGGCACCCTCTTATTAAAGGCACAGAGTCCTCCTCTGCCCCATTTCCTGGGCCTCTGAAAACCAGTCCTGAGCTCCAAGGGCATCAATGCAAGGCAGCACTCTGAAGCTTGAGGCTAGAAAGCCCTGCAGGCAAGGCAAGGGGGCGGGGCATGGCGTCACACTCTTCCAAGAATCAGACATCAGGGCCAAGGCCCAAACTGGCCCCTACTGCCTCAGTCAGAGTTGGGGCACAAGGGCAGCTGGGACAGTCCCTGAGAACAGACAGCCTATGTCCCCCACAACAGGCTCCAGCCCCACCCCCTGTTGTCAGTGCTCCAGATCCTTGGGCAGCGTGAAGTCCCTGAAACTGTAGAAGGAGATGTCGCCGTGATCCATCAGGGCAAAGATCAGAGGGACATCCCCACTCTGGAAGGTCAACCGCTTGAGGCTGCAGAGGTCTGGGACAGGCTCATCAAATCTGTAGGGATAAGGGTTGGACTGAGACCTGGTCACAGCCCCTCACCAATAAACACCAAGACCCCACCCCTCTCAGGTTCCCATGGAAGGGAGATTATAAAACAGGCTGGGGGTGCAAGAATTCAGGTCCCTGGGTTCTCCTATCTACAGACTACTGACTAATGACTTCAAGAAAGCCCCAGTGTCCCAGCTGGGTAAGAAGTTGGGAATAGCAACGTTCTCACCAGTCTGAGCCTTTGACCCTTCCTGTCCACATCCCTTCTGCTGGGTGAGCCCAGGTCTAATGTGGCATAGAAGAGAGAGTACTCAAAAATGCAGGCAATGAAGAACCAAGAACTATGAAGCCTGGGAAGCCTATGGCACTAACTGGCTGTGTGGCCTTGTGTAGGTCAATTAACGTATCTGGACCTACGGTTCGCAAAGAGGCTTGGGGGTGAGGGTGGGATGGAGAGAAGGTCCACGTGGTTCACAGGAGAACCAGCCGCAGCTCAGGGGTAGTACTCCCTCATCTCGTACCCACTAATGCACATCCGGGCGTGGGGCTTGCCGGGGCTATTCTTTCGGAACATGGCCACAGAGTCAGCCTGGTAAACATCAAAGCTGATCTCCAAGCCTCCAGGCTTCTCCAGCAGCCTAAGGACAGAGTGAAAAACTTTAGGACAAGGACTCTCCTCTCCCACCTTCCCTTCCGTATTTCTAGTAAGCAGCCTCATCCAGGGGAACTGAGGCTGTGAGGTGCCATATGAGGGGGCGGGGCTCCCGACACTTGGGATAAAGCCACCAGCCTGCCATTCCTCCCTCTCCCCGAGACACACATGAACATGAACATTAGTAATTGCTAAGCACATGGGTGGGGTCCTCTAGCTTGCGCCCAACTATAGCAGCCTAATCCCCACTGTCATACTACCTGGCTGCCAAGTGTTATGGAGAAGGGCACTGCTTGGAAACTTACCCAGCCGCACCATCAGCAAGGTGCGTCGTCTGCAGCACGGAGATATGCTGAAGGACTGCAGCTACAGGACAATGAAAATGAGCTGTTGGAGGAATCAGCCTGCTCTATACTCTCTTGACATTGCTGAATCTGTTACCTTGGTTGAGGTTGCCAGATTTACCAAAATTTTTTTTCTTTCTTTCTTTCTTTCTTTTTTTTTTTTTTTTGTCTTTTTTGAGACAGGGTCTCTTATCAGTTCAGGCTGGCCTTGAGCTCACTTTGTAGCCCAGGCTGCTCTCGAACTCACGATCCTCCTGCCTAAGCCTCCCAAATGCTGGGATTACAGGCGTATGTGCCACCACGCCCATCGTTACCAAATTCTTTTTTTTAAGTTTTTGTATTTTGTGTGTAGTAGAAGGGGTTGAACCCAGGAGCACTGTACCACTGAGCTACACCCCCAGCCCTATTAAAATTTATTTAATTAATTATTTACTTAGTTTGCCTTGCTGGTGGGTGAGCACAGGCATGTGCCATGACTGAGCTACATTCCTACACCCCCAGCCCATTTTTCCCTTTTATTTTGAACCAGGATCTCACTAAGTCACTAAATTGCCCAGGCAAGGTTCATACTTTACAGTCCTTCACCCTCAGTCTCCTACAGCAATGGTGGTGAACCTGTGGTACGTGTGCTGTAGCAGGCTGTTTGTATCATTGAAAGCTCTGGTGGCGCTCACCTGTAATCCCAGCACTCAAGAGGCTGAGGCAGGAGGATCATTGTGAGTTCGGAGGCCAGCCTCAGCTACAAAGTGAGCTCAAGGCCAGGCTCAACTGCATAGCAAGACCCTGTCTCAAAAAGATACACACACACACACACAGAAAAAAAAAAAAAAAAAAAAAAGGAAGCTCTAAAAGGTTTGCCATCCCTGTCCTAGAGTGTCTGTCCCCGAGACACACATGAACACGAACATTAGTAATTGCTAAGCACATGGGTGGGGTCCTCTAGCTTGCGCCCAACTATAGCAGCCTAATCCCCACTGTCATACTACCTGGCTGCCAAGTGTTATGGAGAAGGGCACTGCTTGGAAACTTACCCAGCCGCACCATCAGTGAGGTGCGTCGTCTGCAGCACTTATTTCTTTTGAGACAGGATCGTCACTAAATTGTCCAAGATAGGCTAGAACTTGCAATTCTCCTACCTCAGCCTCCAGAGCAGCTGGGATTACAGGCATGTGCCAACACAACCGGCCCTAATTTTTTTTAGAATAAGTATGTCCAATGTAGTATTTGGAACATGCTTATGCCAAGAATTTAGCTATTGTTTACCTAAAATTCAAATCTACCTGATTTGGTGACACTAATCTAGCTTCTATGATCTACGTATGTCCCCATGATTTTAAGTAGCTCTGAATCTGTCAGCACATTTAGCTGAGGGCATTCCTGCCCCATTAGTTTCCAGTGCTTAACACCTGGAGCAAACAGTAAGCCTCTGACTTTAATCAGGATACCACCCCATGTTCCAGCCAAGTGGTTTGGGAGGGGAGAGGGTCACAGCTAGGTGTGGCAAAGGCATCCAAGTGATCCTAGCTGGTTATGGTTTGTGCCACCCCAACCCAGTATTGGAGACTGAACCCATGGCCTTTGCACCGAACTATATCCCCATCCCCCAACTCCCTTTCTGAGACAGGGTCTAAGTTGTTAAACTGCCCAGACTAGCTGTGACCTTGCAATCCTCCTGCCTCAGCCTTCCAGAGTGCTGGGATTACAGGCATATGCCACCATTCCTGGCTTTGGCTATGGTTTTAAGGACACAGTTTTCTCCCCTCCTTGCCTCTCCCTGGGCACTGACTCACCACACTGTACCCTGCCCTGTCTGTAGGCTTGCTGACCACAGAACTGACTGTCCTTGTGGGTTCCATTGCAGCGGACAGCTCTCTCTTGTCCCACATCCTAAACCTCAATTAGTCCTAAGCAATCCAGCTCCTTTTCAAAGCCCGTGAACCCTCAGCTGCCAGTGGCCTGCAGGGCTACAGCGACATAAAGTGGTACCTGGGGAGTCTGCCTGGCCAGGGCTCAGCAAGGGGGTGACGGGCTGACCCCACAGGTGTAGGAGACAGCTGTGGTTCTTCTGCAGGTGTCGCCTATGCAGCAGCTCCTTGTATTCCCGCCAGTTAGAGCAGTGCTGCACCTCAGGATCTGCATTTACGTCCCCGCGGAATTGCCGGGCCTCTGCTTGCTGTTCTTGCTCCCGTCGGGAAAGCTTCTCTTTTCGCTGGTTCAGCTTCTGGCACCAGGACTCAGCGTCTGTCTCCCGCCCAGCAACGTTGGCGGGGAGCAGCTCTGGGGCTGGTGCAGCCAGGAGGGTGTGGCGGCTATCTGAAGCCATGTTGGGGAAGGAGATCTGCTCGAAGTTCCAGCGTAGCTTACCAGCCCCCTTGACTCCATTCTCTGCTTTGACACTCTCCTGGCCACACCCCCGGCCCTCCCTGGCCAAACCAGAGCAGGGCTCCAGGGATCCCAGAAGCTGAAACGGGACCTCCAGGTCCTTCACGTAGCTTGACTCCTGGGGCTTCTCCTCTGGGCACTGGCTGTTCTGGATGCTGGCAGGTGGGCTGGAGGCTGCCAGGTTCATGGGTAGCAGGGAATCCTCCAGGCCCTTGGCCTTCTTATTAACAGGGCTGAGAGACATGGGAGGGAAAGCAGCAGTCTGTTCCTGACTGCTAAGGTGCACACGTTTCACATGAGCTGAGGAAGGCAGGTCGCTAGCTACCCCATGAGCAGAGATGAGAGCTGCCCAAGTGCAGCGCTATACCCCACACACTCCCTGAGGCCCCAGGCATCAGTCCTCCCTGGGGGGTGGGAAGGGCATTACCGAGAGCTGGTGCTCCTCTTCCTCTTGCCAGTCCCATCCTCTAGGTGCTGGGCATAGCCATCTAAGTTGAGCTGCCTCTCATAAGGGGACAGGACAGAGCTGTAGGGTGAGAACAGCAGGCGGGCAACAGATCCACCTCCTCAGGTTGGTGTTCCTGCTGGGGGTTTGTAAGGGACTGGCCAAAAGGACAGGTCAGGAGCCAGGGTCAGAGCCACACCCAGAGGCTAAGGCTCTAAGCAGATCTGCATGAGGGTACAAGGTGGGGTCATAGGGGCCCCGTCAGGCTCTCTGCCCAGGCCTCTGGGTGTCAACAATGGCACCTCTGAACAAAGGCTCTTTAGAATTAGGGGCTCCTGAAGGGCCAGCAATACATAAATCATCAGTCGGGGGGTACAGCTCAGTGGCAGAGCATTTGCCTTGGCATGTTCAGCTGAGGCCCTGGGCTCGGTCTCCACGACCATAATAAATAAATAATCAATCCCCAGCAAGAAAAACAAAGAGGAATTTTAAAAACTTTGAAAATACAGAAAAACAAAGATGAAAAGAACACCAAGCATGGTGGTACATGTGCAGAAAAGGCAGTACTATCAAAGGGAGAAAAAAACAAAGATGAAGAAAATAAAAACCTTGCCTAATCATTGTAACACTGTGTTTACTATATAATAAACACTGTGTTTACTATGCATACACACTAATGATGCCCATATATTTTTTTCTGACAAAACTGTCACTGCATCAACATGTTACTTTGTAATTTTTTTTTGCCCTCAATAACATATTGCAGACTCAGCCCCTTATCATTATAGCATTCTTCCTGGCCATAAGTTTATGATGGCTCCTGATGTGGCACTGTTTGATACACCTGGCTATTATATTAAATGAAATGAAATGAAATAAAATGACAAATTCACTCCCATAGTTGCACAAACCACAATATTAGCCTAGGCACAGGACATTTCATCCCTAGAGAAAGTTCTATGCATAGCATGGCTCTAAGATTCTAGTTGGTGTGAGCACACCTCCACTGTTGAGCTCTTAGACTACTTCTAAGTACACTAATTTTGCAAAGTGAAGGTATTTTGTAGATGCACCTTGCTGAAGGCAAGCAGCACTAAAGCAGTGCTTTGGCTCCACTATTCCTTAGTAACAAGTATAGGGCACTAGTAACCGCTCAATAATATTGCTGAATGAAGATTCTCATGAGAACACCTCTGCATGCGGGCATGATTATTTCTCTAAAATAGACCCCTTTTTCTGGAAATAAGTGATGTGTCTGTTTTAGAGCCTTGGGGACATATGATATAGGTGCAAATACTACAGCAGTTTCCACCCAAAGCCTGAAGGTTTCTGTGGCTCTCAGCAATGCTGGATTGCTAAGTGATGAGGAAAGAACATCTAACCTAGTATAAGAAATGTAAAACCCAATTGAAGTATAAATTCCTCACTTGACCCTTCCTTCATACACATACTTCACAAATCTGCCTTCACACCTACCAAGTTCGAGGCACTATGTCCGTGCTCACAATGAGCTGCATCTGAAGATGAGCCTCGATTTGCTAAAGCAGTAGGAAGTGTAATGGGATTCTTCCCTGATGCCTAAGAGCACTTCTGGGGAGGCCTGCGTCAATGTCCATAGAGCTGCACTGCAGTGAAAGGCTCCAGCTAAGCAAGGGATACTTCCCACCTGAAACTGGCAGCCAGGTTCCTGGACTAGAGTGAATGGGAGGGAGGGAAAGGAATAGGGACTTACCTTGGTTGGAATCGTCGAACCACATAGCCCAGCCTCTTCAGGTGGCTGAAGACCTCAAGTGAAGAAAAAAGTAAAGCTCAAACGTCCACTCTTTCATTATTTTTTTAATCTCTATTCCTCTTTTAAATTTATTTATTTTGAGACAAGGGCTCACTAAGTTGCTAAGCTGGCCAAACTGGGCTCAAATTTGTACTCCTGCCTTAGCCTTCCAGGATGCCGGGATTACAGGAACGCACCACCACACCTAGCTCAAAATGGAGTTCTTTTGACTGGTTCCATCCTCCCCAACTTACCCTTCCCTCAGTATTTCCAGCCAGAAAATGAATACTGGCTCATGCCCAAACTGTGGACATATCCTTCCCCTCTCTGAAGTGCTGGGGATTGGACTCAAGGCCTTGCCCATGCAAAGCAAACCTTCTACCACTGAGTCATACCCTCAGCCCCCACGGGCACAATCTTTTCTCTTCTTAACCTGAAACCCAATCCACTGGCAAAGTTCTGTCTTTGTTTTCTAAGATTCATCCATTTATTTTCACTCACGGACACCTGTCACAACCCCAAGTTGAGCTAAGCCTCTATCTTCTCTCACCTGAAAGAGTATCTCAGACTCTTATCACTTCTCCTCCTTCACTTTATCTTCTGCCCAACACAGCACCTACTTCACTATAAAGCCCATAGTTTTTTTTTTTTTTTCTGATACTGGGAATTGAACTCAGGAACTTGCTTGTGCCAGGCAGGTGCTATGCCACTAAGCTATATCCCTGACCTACTTGCTTGTTTTTTATTATTCAACTGCCACCATGAAAATGGAAGCCTTAGGGCCTGGGGGTTTAGCTCAGCAGCACAGCGCCTGCCTGGCAAGCGGGAGGTCGTGAGTTCGATTCCCGGTACTGGAAAAAAAAAGAAAGAAAATGGAAGCCTTGTGACAGTAAGGCCCTTGTAGCTCCAGCATGTGGCACTGTGCTAGCACCTCTTGGGTATTCTGGCTGTATACTGACTCAGCAAATGAGGGATCAGGGAGAGGTACCTGGTACTGTAGGAAATTCACAGTGTCCCCGGTGAGCAGCAGCTGGTAAGCCTCTTGGATAGACAGCGGCAGGTCTTGGTAAAAAAGCTGAATAGAGCCCTGGAAGTGGGGTCAACAGATCAGCTGTGCATTCTTCCTGCAGTGCCACAGCCAAATGGGGCAAGCTCCCCACCGCTAAGTAATACTGCCAACCAGGAAAGAGGGGCAGCACCCTGATGTGGGCTGAAATCCCTGATCCCTGTGTAGTATTTTTCAAAGTAACTTTTGTTAGTAGGTCTGTGATATGTAACTAATTCGCTCAACGTGGGCAGCTGGTACATATATATACACGGCATCTTAATCCTTTGTATTCCTTTTCCCTCCTTCCCTTCTTCATCCCTAGGTCCCCTTCCCATCTACAAATTGTCTCCCTCTGTTTCCTATCGTCATTTACTTGCTCTTTAAATTATTTACACTTTGGGTTTCTCGCACAGAGAAACCACCCGCATGGTACTCTTGGGTCCTGTTCCGGAAGCCAATTATACGTTCACTGGAAACGTAGTTGTGTACGTTTTTTCTCCACCGACCATGCGTCCTTCCAGTTTCTTGGTCCAGACCCCCTCCCCATTCTCCAGGGGCTCCACTCACACACTCCAGCAGATACAAGGCCTCTTCAGGGTGAAGCAGCTGCCGGCCCTGCTCCGAGAAGCCCATGGTGTGCCAGAATTTACCCTGCAAGACCCAGAGAAAGTGTCACAAAGTTTCCCGGAGAGCACAGCAGGCGGGTCCCCCGTCCCTGAGCCCCGCCGCTCACCGCAGGAGACTTCAGCTCCACGAAGCCCTCCTCCGGTCTCCACTCCGCGGCCACCAAGCTGCCCCTGGCGAGGAGCGGGGAGGGGTCCGGCTCGCTCAGACAGCCCCGCGCGCCGGCCCCGCCCTCCCGGCCCCGCCCCGCCCCGCCCCCTCACAGGCGCTCCACGCGCTCCTCGGCCAGCAGCTGCCAGAGCTCCTCGCGGCACTGGCGCAGCCGCTCGGCCTGGGCCGCCGAGCCATCGGGGAGGAAGTCCTTGGGGCCGTGCGACCGCTGGGGCAGCTTCTGGGACCGCGAGCGGGCGGCGAGGAGCTCCGGGGCGCTGGGGGAGAAGGGGGACACGAAATCGGCGCCGTGCCTCGACGAAGCCCTGCGCGGTTCCGGACCCCAGTTTCCCGCCTCCCAGACCGTGCCGCACCTGAGCACGCGCCCGGGGGGGACCTCCACGGCCGCAGGCTCCGGCTCAGGCTCCGGCTCCATCTGCCCGCAGTCTGCGCCTGCGCGCGCCTCGTGTGCCCCGCCCCCCGCCGGAACTCTGCGGGGCCTTAGCGCCGGCTCCTCCCCCACTGGCTTTCCGCCTGCCTGGCTCTCTTGGGTCCTAATGCCTGCCCACATACGTGTGCCCCGATTCCGGGAACTGAGTTTAGCTTGCAGGTTCTTGTATGTAGAGGAGCTCCTCTGTCCTGTCCCAAGCCCGCTTCGGGACCCCTATCTAGTGAAACCTCAAACCGGCATCTGGGAGTGTGGCATGAACAGTCAAATGTGTGACACTTCTCTCTGTAGCCCTGGGCTGCATAATCCACACCACCGTCCGACCAAGAAGAGTGCTTAGAGAATGGAAAGCGGCAGTTCCCGAATTCCAGCTTTGTAAACTACAGCGGTCCAGAGAAATTCGGAGTCTCTTCCGGGCCAGGCCCTGGGTCCTGTCCGAGGGGTTCCGAAGCCCGCTTTCGAGGGTGGGAGGCGCTGTCCGGCCCACGATGGTGCTGAAGCCCCACCCCAACCCTCCAAATAGCACCTCCTCGAGGCTGGGGTCCCCGCCGCAGTCACCGTGGGCCGCTCCGATACTATCCACTAGGTGGCACCATTGATCCGGCTAGTAGTTATGGGTTGGCACTCTGGCCGTAGGCGGAGGTCGCTGGGGGGAGTCTTGGGAGGAGTGCGGGCAAAGAGGAAAGGGGGCTGCCCAAGAAAAGGGTCCCTGGGTTTCAGTTGCCAAACCCTTCTACATCACGTCTATCTCTCCCATCCTTCGATCCAGACTCTAGAGCCCAGTTAGTCCAGGACTCATCCTCAGGACGCAGCTGCGCGAGCTCTCCCCACCCACCGTGCACCCCACTCGTTTTTACCTGTACGCATGCTCTGACGGGGCCAGAGCTTTGGTCCGGACTGGAGCGGTTGGGGGCGGGGACTGGCGCGGCTGGGGGCGGGGCCGAAGGCGCTGATTGACAGCCCGACTGCGCGGCCGGGACGGTCCCTCTCTCCCGATCCGGCAGGAGGGAGGGGGGAGGGGCGGGATTTCCTGCGGGAGGCGCAGAGTCGGCCTTGGAAAAGCAGCAGGAGGAGAAAGGTATGGGGGGGTAGTGGGAGCCAGCGTGCAAAGTGCCAGGGACTGAGCGGGGCCAGCCGGACCCCCGGCGGAGAAGCCGGGAGAGGTGAGACTTTGGGGCCGTACCTGGGGGTCAGCACCCTTGGGGCGGGCGCAAACTAACTTTTCTTGCGGGATCGGTGGGTGCCTCCATCTCTCTGCTTCTTCCGACCTCCTCGCGCCCCCCTTTTCGTCCTCCCGCATCTATCCCTCCGGCGCTTGGCCCTCTCGGTCCCTCCCGCCGCTTTGTTCGCGGGTCGGCCTGGACTGGGCTCGGCTGGGGGTGCGCGGCGCTGGAGGGGCATTCCGAGGGGCGGGGGAGCCAGCCGACCCCAGGCAGTGCCTGGGGCGCCCTCCCCCTGTGCGGGCGGCGGGCCTTGAGGGGGAGTGCCCTTTGGGTTGGGTTTGGGACCTTGGGGAGTGAGGGGTTCCCGGTCAGGGCCCCAGGCCTGCACGGGTCTCCTGCCGTAAGACTGGCAACAAATTCGCCGCCACAGAAGAACTGACATAAGCTGGTTCCGGCAGTAAGGTCGAGCTCGGGTCTGGGCTTCAGGTTCAGGCTTCAGATTCAGGCTAGAGGGGCCAATGACCGGCAGTCACTGTTCTCTGCCCACAGAGTGGTGAGGAGGGTCAGCAACAGGTGCTGTAGGGCCTCCCTGCCCAGCAGGCAGATTCCCCCAGAATCAGGGCCCCATAAACTTCCCACGCCGCCCCCAGTTTACAAAGGGCCGCAGGGCTAAGCATCCAGCCATTAAAGTAAAGGCTACGTAGGGAGGAGTCTGAGGGCAGGCGCCTGGGACACGGAGTGACCCCTGCTCCTCTGCCTGTGCCGCCTTCCAGGCCCCACCTCCTAGCCCGCCGGTTGTCTGTGGGTGTTGGAGCCTGGGGCTGTGGAGAACAGGCTGCTGGCCTGGCCTGCCCCAGTGTGTTGTACTGCCAGGGCCCCTCCTGCACAAGGTTGAGGTGCTGCCTGGTGTCCCGGGGCCCCAGTGACTCAGCCTCCCCCTCCCTGCAGATACTCCTCTCAGGCTTGGCAGCCCTCCCCGCGTCACAGAGCTGATCCCGTCCTGACTGCGTGGGGCAGCCAGCGTGGCTGGGGGCTCCCTGGAAGTCCTGACCTGCTCACCCTCTGTGCCCGCCTTCTGGGATCCTTGCAGGCTGAAGCCCAGCCTTCGACTGAGGCACTGCGACTCTTCCGGACCCCCAGGACCTGCCCACTGATGCTACCCAAGGCCCGAGGGAATGCTGGCTGCTCTTGGAGTAGGCACTGGTGCTCCTGAGCCGAGCCTGGAAGATTGGTGTTTCCAGTCCTGGCCCATCCCGGGGCTGTCAGAAGCTGCAGGCTGATATCCTTCCAGATTGCCACACAGCTGCCACCTCCTCAGAGACGCTTTTCTGTTTGTGGTGGCAGCTCACGGAGCTCCTTGGGGGAATATCCATCAGTACCTGACAAGGAGCCCACTGCCTAGGACCCCAGACGCATTCTCCCAGGACTGCCCTAGGACAGGGAGACCTCCAAGGGGCTGAGGCATGACACGCTGACCCTCTGCTTGGACCGGTGTCCTTGTCTCGGCCTTGGACTCCTGAGCCTAGACCTTGGCCCAGGAGCCAGCATGGGTAGAGAACAGGATCTGATTCTTGCCGTCAAGAATGGAGATGTGACTGGTGTGCAGAAACTGGTGGCCAAGGTCAAAGCCACAAAGACAAGTGAGTATTTGCTGGGGTGACCATCCTCAGAGGCCCTCCCCTTAGTACTGAGGCTACCAAGGGAAGTTTGGAGCGTGGGGAAGGGGCCACTGTGATCTGCAGATTTGAGGAGGGAAGCTGGTCCTGCTCAAGATAAGAAGTGTATCTGTGTGGGAGAGCCAGGAAGGAAGTTGTGTCCCACTTGCTGTGTGTCCCCAGGCAAGTCACTTATCTTCTCTGGGCCACAGGTTTTTTGACTGCAAGGTGAGAGGATTGAAGTAGATTTATTCAAATTTTTACTGAATGTGTATTGTATACTAGGCTCTGTTCTAAGTCCTGAGCCAGAACAGTGAACAAAACAGACCAAATTTCCAACCCTCAAGAAGTTGCCTCCTGCAAGTGGCTTTATAGGTGTGTCCTTCCGTGCCACGAGGATTCTGGCAGTGGGTTGGGAAAGACTGACTACTAGAGGCTCCATGCCCACGCCCAGTCCCATATACACATTTCAATCAGCGCATCCCTTGTGGTTTTTGCTGAACTTAACGAGGATGTCTGTATCTTTTAATAAGAGAGATGTTATTTTTGGTTGGTTTGTTTGTTTTAATTTCAACACTCTGACCACTTCCTAAAGCTTCTTCTCTCTGATTAAATCTACCTTTGTTTCCTGAGGTGTATGGCCAAAGCTGGTTTTCTAGAGGTTTTCCCAGCCTGGGGCTCCGGTCCTGATAGGGTTTCTGGACTCAACTCAAGGCATGCACCGTGGCCACTCCTGAGCCCCCGCCTCTCGGGTGGGCAACTCCCTTTCCCAGGGAGAATAGGCCCCTAGGTGTCAAGGCAGGCTCTCTGGGGGAGAGAGAGTAAGTGCCACTAGATTTGTCACCTTGAGATTCTAAACTGGCAAGGACAGCCACTGGTTCAAACTGGGGCTGGAAGGGGCGTTCCCTGGAGGGGAAGGTCTTCTCTGAGTGCTGGGGCTGTAGCCCCAAGACACACCTGAGCCTTGTGCACAGGAAGGAGTCCCCAGGCTACCTGGAGCACCTTATTATCCCCACCCACGCCTCAGGTGTGGGTGCCAGAAGGACAGGTCATAATGGCATGCATCTACCTGCACACCAGGCAGTAGGGCGATGTGTCCTCCCCCCCCCCAAGTAGATACAGCATGGGCCTGATAGGAGGTCCCTGGCGACCAAGACTGGGAGCCACTCCCCCTCCTTCCTACCTCTGTGTTGTTCTTGGCCACCTTCCTAGTGAGGCCTTGGTCACACCGCTGCTGGCCTCCCCGCCCTGGAGGCTGATGGCGGGAAGCTGACGACCAGGCCCGGAGGCTCTGAACAGGTCCCCTGTACCCGGGGGGCAAACATCTGTGGAGGAAGAGGGCCCCTCCACTGAAGAGGAGAATTCACCTGTAAAGGAGCAGAGTGACAGGCCTGGCTCTCCTTGTGAGGCTTTGGCACCGTACCTGGGAGAGGCTGGTGACAGAGTGAGATCACAAGGTGACCTTTGCAAACTTGACAGTTTATGAAATGTAACCTCACTTCTCTGTGAGATGCGTATTTCTACGTCCATGGTACAGGTAAAGTGGCACTGGGAGCTTAGTAACTTGGCCAAGGTCCCACAGCCGTGGTGGAGTGTGTCCGAGACAAACCCGCGCCTCCTCCCCTGTGCTCCCATGCTGATCCCTACCCAGTTCTGTCCACATCCGTGTCACCCCGGAACCCAGCACTCGGAGAGGCTAAGGCAGGAGGATTGAGAATTCCAGCCCAATCTGGGCAACTTAATGAAACCCTGTTTCAAAAGAAAAATAAAGGGAGCGGGGATTTGTGAAAGTCCTGAGTCCAATCCCTAGTACTGGAGTGGGGGTAGGGAGAATTACCTAAGGGACTGTTCTAAAAGTCTGGATTTCTTAGACACCCTGCTGCCAAATTAAAATCATCAGGAAGGGCCTAGGGCTCTGCAAATTAGTTTTCCAGGTGATCTCTGGAAACTGCCGAGGTGGCAGGGCTCCCCTGTTTCTTCCTGTGGGTGGCTATGGCTCTCTGGCTCCCCAGAAAGCAGAATGAGGTGCTCCTCAAGCTTCTCCAGCCAACGGCCAGCCTGTACCCCTTCTCGACAGATCCTCTTCAGAGAGCAGGTGGCCTGACCTTGCCGTACCCCATAGCTTTCCCACCTCCTTTTTCTGAGGTCTCCTCTGGCCAGAGGAAATGGAGTGGGCTGGGGTGGCCGGCTGAGCTCACATCCTCTGCCTGAACCTAAGTCAGAGACAGGCCAGAGAAAGAGGCTGTGCTGCAGCGGAAGAGCCTGGAGCCACTGCCTGGAAGCGGGACCCTCCGCCCTCCCTCCATAGTCCTCAGCCCAGTCATTCGGAGCCTCTACCCACCACCTTTCCGGCTATTGTTCTGGAAAGAACAGCGCCACCCAGCCTGGCCCTACCCCTGTTCCTGTGTCCCTCCTGTCACATTGTCCTGTCCCACCCTTGGAGGGGCCACATCCCGCCAGCCAGCTGCCCCATTCCAGTATCTAGGCTGGTGGAAGGGAAAGGACCCTGTGTCTCTTCCTGGAGGAACTCTGTCCCCACTCATCTTCTGAGACACCGTGGTTTGTGAAAGTCACACAGCAGTGAGAGGCAGAGAGAGCATTTGAGCTACGCACTTTCTGCTTCCCAAGCCTCTGTTCTTTTCCCCTGCATGACAAGTACTTTGCAAAGGGACAAAAGCAAAGCTGGGGGGTCTGCATGTCCTCCCAGTGGCCCCCACCACTTCGCTTCCCTGCCCGCCTTGGCCCTGTGTTTACCTTTTTGGAGTAGAGTCCTTCATCTCAGCCCCGTGTGTAGCTGTCCCCTCCTCCCCATCCCACTGCAAGTTTAGTCCCTCCCTGTTGGAATGAGGCCCTGCCTTGTCCAGGCTGCTGGGGTATTCAGGGGCCCGCCAGGGCCTCGGGGGCAGGTCTGGACCAGCATGCTTGGCACCCTGCCCAGCCTGGGTTGAGCCAGGCCCCCTCCCGGCAGGGGTGGGTTCCAGCAGAAGGCAGGGTCTGTTTGTGACAGGCCTTCTTTCCCTCCCTAGCACCTCAAGGACCGCCTGCCCCTGCCCTAGCTGCCATAGGGAGCTTACCTGTGTGCACCTGCTGTGGGGAGGCGGTGCCCCAGCCCCTCTGCCTGGGGCCTGCACAGCTCAGCCAAGAGCCTGTGGGTGCTGGGGTGGCTGAGAACCCACTGAGATCCAGGGGGATGGTGGGGAATTGATACCCACTCTTTTTGATGGATAATATGGTGCTAGTAGTGGTCAACATGGTCAAGGGTGCTACATGTACCGTCTGTTGCATGCTGACAAGGATCAGCTGCTGTATTTACAATACCTGTGCAGAAAGGACACGGAGCCCAACGGGCTCAATGATCTGCCCATACTCTTCCAGCCAGCACATGGCAGAGACGCGGCCAGGGCAGGTGTGTCTGATTCCGCTCCCCCCGGGCTGTGGCCCTCAAGCACAGCCCTGGCATCTCAACCCTGGAATACCTAACGCCCTCTCCTTGCTCTCCCTGCCCACCCGCTTGGCCCAGTGGGACAATGTGACTCGCTCCCTAGCCCATTCGAGCAGGAATGCTAACCATGTGTCCCGTGGGCCTGTTGGTTAGGGCACACCATGCCAGCACTCCCCCCCAACCCCCTGTGGCTCTATAAACAAGCTGGGCTGGGGCCTCAGGAAGCCAGGCCACTGCTACAGAGGTTCCCTGCACTCCGTGCTTTGGGCCAGAGTGGGAACCATATGGACAAGACCAGTAAAGGGCCATGGGGCAGGTGTTCTGCACACCGAGAGGTCAGCTGGGCCCCGGGAGGTGGCAGGAATGCTAGGTGAGGATATGGGCGATGGCAGATGATTGCCTAGTCCCTGATACCCTGTCCTGCCCCCCAGAGCTTCTCGGCTCCACGAAGAGGCTCAATGTCAACTACCAGGATGCTGATGGGTGAGTGAGGGCTGCTATGGGGTGGGGTGGGGGTGGGGAATTAGAGTTGTTGGGAGGGGTGGAAGGGAAAGGCCCTGGAGCCCAGGGTCCATGCCCCTCAAACTTCACCCTCAAATTGCCTTCACTGGGAGCTGTGGGTCCTGGGCTTGGGGAGGGGGGTCCTGCCTACCCAACCTGCTGTGGCGTTAACCCAGATGGAAGGGAGGAGCCCTGGGGCCACTCCAGTGTGCCTCCTTGAGTTAGAATGCTCCTGGGCCCCCTTTTTTTCCCTGGAGGGTAGAGCCTAAGGGCTCTTGCTCCCACGGCCCCCTCCCCTGGGCTGGCTTAGGGGGGGCGCACCAGACAAACAGGCCTCTCAGTGCAGACACTGAGCCCTTTCATGCTGTGGCCAGGCTGCTGTGCGCTCCCACGGCAGGGCTGATGGGAGGAGGGAAGTAACCCGTCCCTGCCAACCCCCAGAATGAGTTTAGGGGTGGAAGACAGGATTTGGGGGCTCATTGACACCCCACTTTTGTGGTTCCCCCCCAGATTCTCTGCTCTCCACCATGCCGCCTTGGGGGGCAGCTTGGAGCTCATAGCCTTGTTGCTGGAGGCTCAGGCCACTGTGGACATCAAGGACAGCAATGGTGAGGCCCTGGGACCAGAGCCTGCTGATGGTCAGCACACAGCAACGCTAGGTGTTTGCAGAGCTTCCCTAGCCCTGCTCATGCCTTTCCCTTTTGTGATGCTGATGTCCTGTTATTCAGATAGAGAGGCTGAGGCTCAAGAGAGGTTAGAGCACTGCCCTGGGTTGCCAGATGACCTGTGGTAGGCACAGGGGGCCTACGGCTTCGGCCCCACACAGCCAGACCAAACCCCTGGTGAAACCAGTGTCGCAGAATGCTCTTGGGCTGCCTCCCCTCCCAGCCAGCATCCCCAGGCACCCAGTGCCCTCCCAGAACCTCTCTCAGGCATGCGTCCTCCTGCCAGGCATGCGTCCACTGCACTATGCAGCCTGGCAGGGCCGGCTAGAGCCCGTGCGGCTGCTGCTCCGGGCCTCTGCGGCCGTCAATGCTGCATCGCTGGATGGGCAGATCCCGCTGCACCTGGCTGCACAGTATGGACACTACGAGGTGGTACGTGAGCTGCCCAAAGGGGTGCTGGGGTGGGGTGGGGTGGGGCGAGGTCAGCAGGCCAGGCCTCTTCACTCAGCTCCCTCCACCCCAGTCAGAAATGCTCCTCCAACATCAGTCCAACCCATGCCTAGTTAACAAGGCCAAGAAGACACCCCTGGACCTGGCCTGTGAGTTTGGGCGGCTCAAGGTAAGACCTGCGGTCCTTGGAGAGCTGAGTGCTGGGTGCTAGACCTTTGTAGGGTCTTGGAAAAAGGCACTGACTTGGTACTGTGCTGCAGGTGGCCCAGCTGCTCCTGAACAGCCACTTATGTGTAGCACTGCTGGAAGGTGAGGCCAAGGACCCGTGCGACCCCAACTACACCACGCCTCTGCACCTGGCTGCTAAGAATGGCCACAGAGAAGTTATCCGGTACCCAGGGAGCCCCCCACTTTCTCATCCCCTTCCTGTGGGACTGCTGGTATCCTCGATCTCTCTGTCCCCAGCAGTTGGCTTCCTCCCCTACCCCATGACTTCCATGGCACTCTGTGCCCCTGCAGGCAGCTCTTGAGAGCTGGGATTGAGATCAACCGCCAGACCAAGACTGGGACAGCGCTCCACGAGGCCGCGCTGTATGGCAAGACCGAGGTGGTGCGGCTGCTCCTGGAGGTGGGTACAGGACCTGGTTACTTCACAGCATCTCTGCCATGTGCTGAGACTGGCTGGAGAGGCTGTGGCATTTTGTTTGGGCAGCGGGGAACAGGCCTCACTTCCTGTAAGGGGTGCAAAGGCTCGGGAGCAGCCCCAGCTGCTTGAACCTCACACCTGCCTCTTATGAGCTCATCCTTGACCCACTCTCCCAAATTCCATTTCCTCGTCTGTAAGATCTGAGCCTGGTCATAGTACCCACCCCCCCAGATGGTTACAAGGATTAGGGGAGCAATGATAGGTAGTCCATGCTCATGTGACGCTGTGCACCCAGGGAGGTGTAGATGTGAACATTCGGAACACATACAACCAGACAGCGCTGGACATTGTGAATCAGTTTACCACGTCCCAGGCCAGCCGGGAAATCAAGCAGCTACTGCGGGGTATGTGGAGCAAGACCCAGGCAGGGGCTGGAGCCAGCCCAGTGGGTACCGAAGTGAAAGAGGAGCAGGTGTCCCTGGGGAAGGGTGGGGTCGGGGTGGGGAGGGAGATGCCCTCGGGACACTTAGATGATGCCTGCGCTCCCCCTTGTCTTAGAGGCCTCAGGGATCCTGAAGGTCCGAGCACTCAAGGATTTCTGGAACCTCCACGACCCCACTGCTCTCAGTGTCCGGGCAGGGGATGTCATCACGGTGAGGGCCTGCGCATGCAATCCTTTCGGAACAAAATGGTTGCTCATTTCCTTGGGTGCCTGCTTTGTATCAAGTTGTGCTCTTCCTTTTTCTTTTTCTTTCTTGTTGTGGTACTGTGGGCTGAACCCAAGGCCTTTGCACTGAGCTGCATCCCCACCCTTTTTAATTTGTTTTCTTTTTTTGAGGGGGTGGTACCGGGAATCGAACTGAGGACCTTGCACTTGCTAGGCAGGCACTATGCTGCTGAGCTATATCCCCAGCCCCAACTTTTTTACTTTGAGACAGGGTCTTACTAAGTCACCAGGTTCTCCAGACTGAGTGTGACCTGGTGATTTTCCTGCCTCAGCCTCCCAGAGTGCTGGGATTACATGCGCTAAGTCTTTATATGCACTCATTTTAATTCTCTCCAAGTCTAGGGAAGGTGGGTACCATTATCATTTCTTTATACAAATGACAAAATTGCAGCTTAGAGAAATTAAAAAGACTTGGCCAAGATTACACAGCTAGCAAGTAGCAGAAATGGGACTAGAGCACAGGCTGTTTGTGTGTTCTATGGTATGGCTGCTGGGAGCAAAGGCTGAACTTGGGCATCAGAGGCCAGCTTCATGGGATAAGGGAAGAGCTTGACTGAGTTGCTGGACTGTGGCTACAGGAACGGCCACGGCCTCTTGGTTGGTACAGGGAGTGACCATTTCCTCCCCGCTACAACCTGTCACAGGTCCTTGAGCAGCATCCCGATGGCCGCTGGAAGGGCCACATCCATGAGAGCCAAAGGGGCACAGACCGTGTAGGCTACTTCCCCCCTGGCATTGTTGAGGTGGTCAGCAAGCGGGTGGGCATCCCCATGCCCCGTCTCCCCTCGGTGCCCACCCCGCTACGCCCAGGCTTCTCCCGGATGCCGCAGCCTCCTGCTGATGAGCCACTGCAGCCTCTTACCTATGGCCAGCTCCCTCGGGTGGGCCTCAGCCCAGACAGCCCAGGTACATCCTCCCAGGGGGCGGTGCTGGGCACTGGTGTGGGTGTCTGCCCTGTGTCCGGGCAGGGGGTGTCATCACGGCTGAAGTTGCCAATCAGCTGTTAGCACCAACTGAGGCTTTGACCCTATGCTTCTGTCCCCTACAGCAGGTGACAGGAATAGCGTGGGCAGTGAGGGCAGTGTGGGCAGCATCCGTAGTGCTGGCAGTGGGCAGAGTTCCGAGGGCACCAATGGGCACAGCACTGGACTCCTTATTGAGAATGCCCAGGTAGGAGGGAGGAACGTGGGACCAGGGCAGGGTCTACCACCTGCTGCCAGTTCCCCATACACTGAGGGGTTTCTTCCCTGTCTCTAGCCCCTGCCTTCTGCTGGGGAGGACCAGGTGCTGCCAGGACTGCACACCCCATCCCTGGCAGGTAGGAAGGGTAGATGGGACCAGGGTTGGCCAGGAGGTGCAGGTGGGTGAGGAGGGTGAGGACTCAGCCACCTCTGATGCCATTTCTTACCTCCTAAAGACAACCTGAGCCACCATCCTCTGGCCAGCTACCACTCTGGGGAGATCTTCACCCAGGAGGTGAGGCCGGAACAGCTGCTGGAGGGGAAGGTGAGACCTCCACTGGGGCATACACTGTGGGCCTCAGCATAGAGTGTGCTGAAGGCCTGAGGAGGCCTTAGTGTGGACGTAAATCCCTCCCAGGCCAGGCTCCTGCTGATTTCATCTCCCCAACACCCACAGGATGCACAGGCCATTCACAACTGGCTAAGCGAGTTCCAGCTGGAGGGCTACACTACCCACTTCCTGCAGGCTGGCTATGATGTGCCAACCATCAGTCGCATGACGCCTGAGGTAGGTGCTGCAGCTGGGAAAGGGAGGGCCCAGAAGGCAGAGGAGGAGCCTGACGCCCATGCCCTATGTGGCAGGATCTGACAGCCATCGGGGTGACCAAGCCTGGGCATAGGAAGAAGATTGCCTCAGAGATCGCTCAGCTCAGCATTGCCGAGTGGCTGCCCAGCTACATCCCAGTAAGCAGGCAGCCATAGCAGGGGGTTCTGGCTCCCACTGGGGCTGTGGCTTCATGCTGCCCCTTTCTTTCTGGGTTGGGGAAATCCAGATCTGATGGCACCCCTCTTCCAGACGGACTTGCTGGAGTGGCTATGTGCGCTGGGGCTGCCGCAGTACCACAAGCAGCTGGTGAGCAGTGGCTATGACTCCATGGGGCTGGTGGCCGATCTCACCTGGGAGGAGCTACAAGAGATTGGTGTCAACAAGCTAGGTAAGGACTGCTGTGGGCCTCCCAAGTGGACCCCCATTGCCTCCAAGGTCCAGGATGACTTTTTCCAGACCCAGCTAACCAGGCTGCTCTGTCCATCCCTCAGGGCATCAGAAGAAGCTTATGCTGGGTGTGAAGCGGCTAGCAGAGCTTCGGCGGGGCCTGCTACAGGGAGAGGCCCTAGGTGAAGGCGGGCACCGGATGGCCAGGGGTCCGGAGCTGATGGCTATCGAGGGGCTGGAGAACGGGGAGGGTCCAGCTGTGGCCGGCCCGCGCCTTCTGACCTTTCAGGGCAGTGAGTTAAGCCCAGAGCTCCAGGCAGCCATGGCAAGGGGTGGCCCTGAGCCGCTCCCCCTGCCCCCAGCCCGATCCCCCAGCCAGGAGAGCATCGGAGCACGTTCACGGGGGTCTGGGCACTCACAGGAACAGCCTGCTCCCCAGCCCAGTGGCGGAGACCCCAGCACCCCACAGGAGAGGAACCTTCCAGAGGGCACAGAGCGGCCCCCTAAGCTTTGCTCCCCACTTCCTGGCCAAGGACCCGCCCCTTACGTTTTTATGTACCCCCAGGCCTCGCCCTCCAGCCCAGCTCCAGGGCCACCTCCTGGTGCACCCCGTGCCTTCTCCTACTTGGCCAGCTCCCCTGCCACTCCTCCAGACCCACCTCGGCCCAAGCGCCGGTCCCATAGCCTGAGCCGCCCTGGTCCTACTGAGGGGGAAGCGGAGGGAGAAGCTGAAGGGCCAGCCGGCAGTGCCTTGGGCAGTTATGCTACCCTTACCCGGCGGCCAGGACGCAGCACCCTTGCCCGGACCAGCGCTAGCCCAACCCCAACTCGAGGCGCTCCCCGAAGCCAGTCCTTTGCTCTCCGGGCCCGTCGCAAGGGCCCTCCACCTCCACCCCCCAAGCGCCTCAGCTCCGTCTCTGGCCCGACGGAGCCACCTCCGCTAGATGGGAGCCCAGGGCCCAAGGAGGGTTCTGCAGGGCCCCGAAGGCGCACACTGAGTGAACCTGCTGGCCCTTCTGAAGCCCCCAGCCTGCCCACTCCAGCCGGCCCTGCTTCAGATACAGAAGAGGAGGAGCCTGGCTCTGAGGGAACACCCCCATCTCGGGGCAGCTCAGGGGAAGGGCTGCCATTCGCAGAAGAGGGAAACCTGACTATCAAGCAACGGCCAAAGCCAGCTGGCCCCCCACTTCGGGAAACACCTGTGCCCCCCGGCCTTGACTTCAACCTCACCGAGTCAGACACTGTCAAGCGGAGGCCCAAATGCAGGGAGAGAGAGCCGCTTCAGACGGCACTGCTGGCCTTTGGGTTAGCAAGTGCCACCCCTAGTCCCTCTGCCCCCCTGACCTCGCAGGCCCCCAGTGAGTCCACTTCCTCCAGCCCTCCACAGCCTGAGCCCAGCAGCCTGCCAACTCAGGGAGCTCCAGCTTCTGCTCCCAGTCCGGGAACACAGCCGTCTGGGCCCCCAGCACCCTGTGCTGGGCTGGGTCTGGAGAACTCAGCTGGCAGTCGGCAGAATGCGGAGTCGGAGCCCCAGGCCGCTCCTGCTGCCCTCCTCAAGGTTCCCAGAGCAGGTAGGAGGCTGAGGCCTGTGGGGGACGCACAAGGTCATGTCCAGCCCAGCGGAGGCACAAACCAACCTTTTTGCCTCTGCAGGAACATCCCCCAAGCCTGTGTCTGTGGCCTGTACCCAGCTGGCATTTTCCGGGCCAAAACTGGCTCCCCGGCTTGGCCCCCGCCCTGTCCCCCCACCAAGGCCTGAGAGCACTGGGGCTACAGGTGCAGGTGGGGCCCAGCAGAGACTGGAGCAGACCAGCTCGTCCCTGGCAGCTGCACTGAGGGCCGCAGAGAAGAGCATTGGCGCTGAAGAGCGAGACCGGTGAGGGTGTGGGTGTGGGTGTGGAGAAAGGGAAAGCTGGGTGTAGGACAGCTCCTCTCATAGGCCCCGAAAACAATGGAGGGGGACCTTGCGGGCAGAGCCTCAGGGCAGGCAAGACCTCAGGTTTCAGAGTTGCCCACACCTCAGGCATGGGAGCTTGGGCAAGTCCCTCATCCCCAAATTTCAGTGAGCTCACTTGTAAGAAGGGACGGTGACTCCTGCTGCCGAGGAGGTTGGGAGCGTTACGAGGACGCACGCTAAGTGCTTGGCACTAAGCGGAAACTCCATAGCAGCTCCCTCCCCAGGGCCCGTGGGCTGCAGGACACTGGCCCATCTGATCAGGCCCTTCCCATTGCCATAGGCCCCCTGGGACCTCCACCAAGCACATTCTGGATGACATCAGCACCATGTTTGATGCCCTGGCTGACCAGTTGGATGCCATGCTGGATTGAGCAAGACCCACCTGTGGCTCCTGGCAGTGCCCGTGACCTGCAGTGTCCACTGCCTTTGGCCCAGCACAGAAGAGGCCGCTGCTACCCTTGGTACTGGCAGTGGGCTGGTCTGCCTGGGTCACCAGCCCTGCAGTGTTACTGGGATAGCCCAGAGGCAGGGCCAAGGGGACTTGTCAGGACCTGACTAGTACAAGGGCCTCCGCTCTATCTCAGCAAGCCCTTTCCCATGTGTAACTAACTGGACAGCCCTGGCCCCTGGCCAGGGACCTCGGCAAAAGCTTTCTCCTCAAGGAGAGAAAGTGGTGGCAGGGCAGGGTTTCTGGGGTGCTTTCTTGCACCCTCCACCCTGTGTACCAGTCCCTGAGCCAAGGAAAAGCACCTGGCTACCCCCACACTACCCTGGCACCCTGAGAAGCAAGAGGAGGCAGCATGCCCAAATGGACCCCTCCCTGCAGGTGTACATAGGACATGTAAATATGCAACAGGGACGAGGCCTCGTGCTGGTGGCCATGCCCCGGCCAGCTTCTGCCCCTGCTCCCACCATCCCTCACTGGAAGCAGTGGGCTTAACAGATCCTCAGTGTCCAAACTTTTTCAACTGTAAATGTTATTTTTTAAGCAGAGAGAAATGCATATATTTTAAATGGAATTTATTGTATCTATTAACTGCCTGAGAGGACGTAGTGGGGGAGCCTTGGGTTACAGCAGTACCCCCACAGTTCTCTGGGCTGGAGGCCTGACCTGTTGGCCCAGGCCCGGGATGTGTAACCATTAACTTCTTTCCGCAACTAACACCAATGAAAGTGTCATTCCATGCAACTCGGCTGTGTTTGGATCTGTGCCACAATCTCCCAACCCGGACCCAGGGGGCTCCCTGCTGATGTGGAAGGAGGAAGGCTTGGGCCTACCCTCCTTGCCTTCAGGGGTCCTTTGAGCCCCCACCTAGAGGGCAGCATCCCGTCATGGCTATCTCATGGACCAGCTACACATTTTTCTTAAGCAGTTAACAAGTTTTAATATAAACCAATCTACATTCATTCCTAAAAGGCTCATTTCTGGTAAAAAATATACACCAATAAAAACTTCTCCCAGAAGAATGAGGGCAGGGTTACAGGAAACCTGGGCCACATCTCCCAAGACTGACTCGTGGCCTGCTGAGCCCAGCACAGGAAGAGGTGGGGGGCTTCTCTATCTTCAGACCCCCCAGAGGGAGGTCAGGGCATCAGGGCCACAGTCACGCCCTTGCCCAGGAAGACAGGATACAGCACCTCCCCAGTAACAGCCTTTGCGCTTCCACAGAGGCTGAGGCCCTCACCTTGGCTTCCAGGCTGTGCACAAATGCCAGAGGGCCCTGGGTGAGGGGACCCTGAAGGGGGGCAGCCCATGGGTGAGGGGGCTGAGGGCCCCCTATCGAGTGCCTGAGGTCATACATTCAAGAGTGTCCCTGGTAAGGCCAGGGGGGAGCCAGGATGGTCGTGTCTGGCTGAAGCCACAGCTCCTCAGCTGTTCCACAATGAGCCCAAGGGTCAGGGGGACAGTGGGGTCTCCAGTGACCACAGCTGGGCTCCCAGTTCCACGGGCACAAGAGCAAACCCTGAAACGTTCGTAATAGCAACTTCCCAGATGCAGGCATGGGTCTGGCTTTAGCCCCAGGGACCAGGCAACTGTGGCCACCATGGCCAATGGCTCAGAAAGGAGAGTTCATGCCCAGCTTGGTTTCAAACTGCAGCTTCTGTCGTTTCTGGTAGCGGACACGGACCCTACGGGGTAAATTAAAATACAGGTTGATACAGACCCGACCAGGGGATGGGGCAGGACGTGAGACAAGAGGACGGAGGGAGGGATGCTGACAAAGAGGTGACAGATTTTGGGAACACTCCTGAGCTCCAAGAGAGGTGCCCCGGCTAAAGCTCACCGAATCTCGTGCAGTTTGACAATCTCGTTGGTGACCACCACGAGGACCAGGGACAGGCAGCCCAGAAGCCATGTCAGCAGAGGCACATCCTTCAGGCCGAAGTGGATGCGGCTGTCCCTGTGTGTCCACAGCTGCAGGTCCACAGCTGTCTGGACCACCTGACCCAGCAGCCTACAGGAGGAGGAGCAGCCCGTGTGAACCTCAAGTCACCTGGAGTCCTTCCCTGTTGTCTCAGTAGTATGATCGGCTCAAGGAAGTCAGTCATGCCTCCGGCCACAGCCCAGGGCGATGGGATCCCAGCCCTGCAGAAGCCCACTCTCTGCCCAGGCCCCTCTGTCCAGTACTACTCACACCACAGGCACAGTCACAGCCCACCAGATGTTCGTCAGGGGGCTCTTTCTCCACAGGGGTTTGGTGCGGTGCACGTGGGTAATGGAGATGAAAACTGCAGAAAATGAGGAGGGACAGTGGGGGTGTCAGACTTCTTCCAGCCTCGGGCCTTATCCCCATGCCCCAGGAACCCTCCTGAGCAGAGCCCTCACCAGTATGCAGAACAATCAGGGCAGCTGTGAGTTTCTGGGCCGATAGCAGCCCATTGGCAAAGTCTTCAAACCAAGCTGGAGCCCTGTCATCATCACTGCCAAAGCAAGGCGAGGGCTCAGCCTCCTGTGGGGCCACAGGGAAGCAGGCTGGGGTGGGGAGGGAGGGAGCCTGGGGCACCCACCTGCTCAGCATGATGGAGGAGCAGTTGGTGAGATTGCGGGCCTGGGCGCTGTCACAGAAGCTCTGCAGTGTGAAGCCGAAGCAGATGAGGCATGAGCTGATGGTGAGGCTGAACTTGAGCAAGAAGCAGAGCAGGAAGTAGTGCTGGGTCTACAGGAGAAGAGAGGCCAGTCACTCCCATGGGCTGTGCCCTGCTGGCTGGTACCCAGTTAGCTTTCTCACAGGTAACAGGCTCGTAGGAAATGGGCAGGCCTGGGGAAGCAAGGAGCAGGGACCATGCTCCCGGCAAAGCTCTTTCTCAGCAACAACTACTGGGCAGGTGCTGGCTCTCTGTGTCTACCAATCTCTGCAGCCTTCCAGGTCAGGACCTTACATTCAGCCCCCTCCACGACTGCCTGCATTCTTCTGCAAGAGGTTCCAGCCTTGGGGTCTCTCACTTACCTTCTTAGGAATGGACTGAAGATTTTTCCCTGTTGCCATAGACATGATGGAGCTATGGGGTGGTTTCCCCAGGAGAGAGATGCTGCAAAGCAAGTGTAGGTAAAGGGATGGTAACTGTCACCTCTGTCCCCTAATTCTCACAGGGGAATCCTTCAGGGCATCTTAGTGAGGTCAAGACTGCAGGGGAGAAAGACAGCAAAGGAATCTTCCCCCAGTGCCTCCTGCACCAGAGGACATGAGCCCTGAGCTGTCCTTCCAGAACCCTGGCTTTTGGGGACACACACTGATATCCCAGCCCCACCTGCCTGGGCACGGCCTCTCACCTCAGCAGAGGGTAGCAAAAGCAGGACAGCCACAGGATGTCTGTGGTACTCAGGAGTGGTGGGAGCTGGACCAAGCAAGAAAGGAACTGGACCAAGAAAGAACCCAGGAACCACAATTAGATTCTGACAAGTTAATAAGACCCTGAGGGCCCCAGAGTTGCCTGGCCCTTGCCCAGACACACACTCAAGCCCTTAGAGGAGCTATGGGGCACACTGTTGGCAGTGACACATCTTCAAGACCCTATGGGTTTTACAAAGGCTTTGGGGACCCTCTGGCTGTGCTGCACCCCCAGTCTCCCTCAGATTCTCAACTGGTCTGTGGACAAAGGATTGGGTGGCAGGAGGGCAATTCCTGTGCCGCCTCTAGCTCACCTGGATGACCACGAGGGTCAGCTGGCACTGCAGTAGGAAGAGGAAGCACTTGCGGATGCCATAGGTAGCATGTCGAGCCTAGGGGCCAAAAGGGGGACAGATTATGGCCATGGGCTGCCTGATCTCTCTCAGGCCCTACAGCTGACAAGCTTCAGCCAACACCCAGGTGCCCCTGATGCTCTGAGGAAGGAGCACAGACAAATTCAACTGTGCGGGGCAGCTTTCACTTGCTTGAGGGACTAAGTACGAGGTCCATAAGACCCTGAGGAGTCCTGCACTGCAATTCCACCCTCAGACAGTCCCTTCCCCCACCACCTGTCTGGCTCCCTCACCTGCTCTATGAGCCGGATGATGCTGATGGTCTCCTCCTGGCGAAAGGTCAAGGAGCAGGGCAGGCTGTTCAGCTGCCCTGACAGCTGCAGGGGAGAAAGGCCATCTGTGGCCTGGGCCATGCTGGTGCTGGTGGCGTAGCCAAAAGTCTCCCAGGAACAGCGGGATGGATACAGGGGATCCAGGGCTATGCTGCTCAGTGTACGAAAAGCCCGCATGTGAGCTGTACCCTGTGAAGACCCTACCCCATCTCCCACCAGACCAAGTATCCTATTCCTCTTCTCCTACCACACCCAGGTGCCAGGGTCCCCGCTAGGGAAGATCAACCATAGGATATGCCCACAGCACAGGCCTGTCCTGGACAGGAGAAGCAGAGGCTGACTTGGTAGCCCTGGGGTCTTGCCCTGACCTTACGTCGCTCTGGAGGAAGAGGCAGCTGTTCCTCAGGTTGGCAGAGCTGCCCAGGCAGCAGGTCACTTCCCCGTACTCCTGCATGATCTTTATCATCTCACACATGGCTGGGGGCAGGCAGGAAGCACAACAGTCAGGCAGGTGGAGCCCCCTGTGGGCACCAGCAAACAGCCATGGGCCACGAGGGCAAGAAGCAACAGAAAGTGGGCTCCTCTTTGGAACACTGCCTCCCCAGCAGCATGATCATGTGAACACTGTCACTTTTGATTCCCTGAAATAGGCACACCCACGTGCCAACCTACTAGATTTCTTAGCCAGACTCAGGTTCTTCCACTCACTGCACGGGAAACCCACACATCCCCTGTGGAGCCCACAGGGTTCCCCGCCTGGCGGAGCTCAGCAAGAGGGCCACAGCACTCACTCTCAGGGGTGCAGTCCGTGAAGAGAGGCACGAGCAAGGGCACATTGTCAATGTTCTGCAGATGGGGCCGCACCTGATGGATGCCCCGGGGCAGCTTGGCCTGGAGGAAGCAGAGAGGCCAGTAGCCTCAAGATGGGGAACAGGATCCTGTGCTTCATCTGCCTGCATTTCCCTCAGCAGCCCCCTCTCGTGGACCAGTTATGGGGCCACTTCAAGGGGTATGGGGGACAGACTCTACCATCGTACCCGGTTGCAGTCCTCCAAGAAGCTGGGGATGTCACTGTCTGTAGGCTGGAAGCTGATGAGATCCGAGTGACCCTCCTCCTCCAGGAGGAGCAGTCCTTCTGCATCATCTCGGGACACTGTGGGAACAAAAGCCTGTCCCTCATCTGGGGCCACCCTTCTTGGAGGGCTTTCCTTGCTTGTCCTGCCTGTAGGTTTATACTCTTCCCCTGTCCACTGTTGTTCCCCGCAGGGATGTCAGGACCACTTTCCAGAGAGTGTACATATTGGGAGGGATCTTCAGAGGCTCTCCCTAGCTGTGGCTCCCAGGAGGGAAAACCTCCCCGCCCACGCCATCCCTACCATACCTCTGCCCTCACCCTGGTTCAGGTCATCATGCAGGGAACCCGCATGGCTGGGGCTGGAGGGCGGGATCTCGGAGCCGGGCATGTCACCATTGGGCGTGAGGGAGATGTGGCAGTTCCAGCCAGTTTCTAGACCCATCTTTTCTGCAAACACCTATAAAAAGTAGGCAACCATGGGCCCCATATGCCCTGAGGGAAAAAGCTCAGGGGTGGGACAGGAGGAGGGTTCTCCCTACCTTGCTTTTGAGCTCATCCTCCAAAGAGAAGTAGACAAAGCGGATGCAGGCATTGACCAG